TTGGAAGGTAACATTTTAAGCCATGGAAGTATAGAGTTTTCTCCAAAAGAAGATGCTGAGTAAGAGTAGAAGTCCCAGGGCTAAACCTTACATTTAGAATACTATTAACAGCACACGTACTTCTAAAATGAATTTTCTTTTTAAAATGAGAAATGTTTGTATTGTATGGATATATGTTCATCTGTACATGAATGTCAACGAAAATAAGCACATATGAATGGCACGAACATGTTAAAGAAATATTGGTATACACATTGGGAATTAGTGAAAGACCCTAGCTTGTGTTATAGTGGCTATGTCCACTTGCTTGGTTTCACTATTGCTCTCCTCCCTTTTCCTTTTTTTCTAACTCCCCTCTTTTTTCATTCTTTTTATTCCTCTTCTACATACCAACATGCTCCTTCACTACTTATTTGTAGCTCAAAGAATAAATACACTGAGAAGAGTGGGATTTGGAGTTGGGGTTGGGCTGGACACACATTCAAAGTTAGAAGGAAATGGGTTATGATAAGAGAATCCAGTCCTGGGCTTTTTCCACGGTAAATTCTGTTAGTGATGTTTATGAATGCTAGGTATCAATGCATATGTCTCTGGGCCTTGCTTCAGCTTGGTTTCATGTGATAATGCCAACATCATTGATACTTCAGTCCCCAAAACATTAAATTTGTAGCAGAAGTAGACTGCTTTGCTTATAATTTTAAGATTTTTAGGATAATGACAGTTATACATTAGCGTAGTTGAAGAACTATGAATAATGGTCAATCAGATTGTCAGCATTAACTGGGCATATTGGCACAGGCCTAGAATCCCAGTACTCAGGAGGCTGAGGCAGGAGGATCACTGTGAGTCTGAGGCCAGCCTGGGCTACATAAGTGAGTTCAATGTCAGCCTGCACCACACAGTGAGTCTGTCTCTAAACAAACAAAACAATATAAAGTCTATCAGCATTCATAAGGGCATTTAGTGATACTGCAATACATGTGTCATACGAACAGGAGAACATAGTCTTTATTTCGTAGCTTTGTCATCATGGATAAATTGCCTAACCTCTCTGAATATCTTATCTGAGAAATGTCTACAGTAATTTCAATTACAGATTACCACTGGAAAGAGTAAAGATTAAGAGAGCCAACAGGCTATAAATTAGTAGGTGCTCAAGAAATATTAATTTTTTTCTCCAGTTGCTTTGTTTTCTTCTCTACTTCTGCTATGTCTTTACCTGCCCATATGTAAATATCAATGTAACACTTTCTCCAATTTACATTCTTATACCAAGTGAATTAACCCTTGTACATTAAATTGTCAAAAAGCAGCATGAGTCACTTTTCAAACACATTCATTTCAAATTGTTGTCTTCCTCATTGACTCTTTTTTATTGTGTAATGTTCCTCTCAGATCTGGGGACTGTTTTAGCCCGGAAGCTTAATTCATTTGATAAGACTAATAGGATAGCCACTCCTACTGTCTTTTATTTAACACTACATGATGCCCCTCCCCATCTTTTTACTCTCAATGTACCTTATCTTTATTTTTGATGTGGATTTGTTATAGAAGCATATAATTGGATTGTTTTTCAATCTACTCTGCCAATTTCTTTTAACTGGTGCATTCACATTGCTTACACTTTACCTAATTATCGATGTAAAGCTAAATATGCATACACATGTAATGCTAGCACTCAGGAGGCTGAGGCTGGAAGATCATCGTGAGTTTAAGACCAGCCTGGGCTACAAAGTGAGCTCAAGGCTTGCCTGAACTGAATAGTGAAACCCTGTCTGAAAAAGCCAAAAATTAAATCTGCCTTTTTATTTTTTGTACTCTACTTATTTTATCTTTTCTAAGTTTCTTTGTTTTCCATGTACTACCTTCCTTGGGTGAACTGAATTTTTTTTAAAATTCAATTTTGGCATATATTTACTGTTTAGAGTTCACCTCTGCATAGATTTTAGTATTTGCTTTTACTACTGCATTATATATGCAAATGTATCACTATCATCTGACATCATTTTATCAGCTTTAGTGAAATAGAGAAATCTTCCCTTTTTCTGAAATTGTCTTTTTATTTTTAGCGAAATACAGAAAATTTCTCTTCCTCTTACATACCTTTATACTCCACTATTTGAAAAATGTCATAAATACTTCCTCTATATACACTGAGATTATAGTAGATGTTATAAAATTTCCTTTGTTCATCCAATATAATAAGGCTCAAAAGAAAAAGGAAAACCTACCATTTTACCAATGTTTGTGCTTATTGTGATCATTCTTCTTCCCCGCTGTTTCAAGGTTCCTTCCCTTTTTTTTTTTTTTTTTTTTTTGTATTTCAAGAACATTTTATAATTATTTCAGAGTGGATCCATTTTAAATTCTCTTAGGGTTTTTTTTGTTTTTTTTTTTTGCATCTGATAACATCTTGATTATCCTTTCAATCTCAAAGGATATTATTACTGAGCTTGGAATTTTGGATTGATAGTTGTTTTCCTTGAGCACTTGAAAAATGTACTAATTCTTGCTAGAGTCTTGTCATTTTCTGATTAGAAATTTGTCTAATTTTTGTCTTTTGTAGGTATCATTTACATCTTATTTCTATTCGGTTGCCTTCCCTTCAAGATTATTTCATTCTTTTCAGAATGTTGGCTTCTTTTTGTTGCTTCTGTTGGTGTTTTCTTAGCTTCAAGAATCAGTCCTTCACCAAATTTGTGGAGTGTTAGTCATTATTTCTTCAAATTCTTTTTCATTCTTGTCCTTCTTATCCTTAGGAATCTGTTAGCATTGAATGTCAAAGGTTTTATACTAGGCTTAAAGTGGTGTCTATCGTTCTATATTTAAGGTATCTGATTTTCATTTCTGTATTCACCACTTTGCTATTAAGCCAATCTTTTGAGTTGTTAGGGAAGAAGTGTTGTGTTTTTCAGTTTTAAAATCTCCATTGGCTTTTCTATTTTGTTGTTATTGAGACTTTCTATTTACTTGCTGTGACTTTCTCTCTTATGTGTTTCAAGGATGTTTTAATTGCTCATTGAAGCATTTTTATTATGAGTATTTTAAAGACCTTGTCAGATAATTCTAAGGTCTGTGCATCTACATATTTTCTCTTTTCATTCAAGTTCATATCTTGGTATGGTGGGGTTTTTTTTCATTAAAAGTTAAAGACTAGATTTTACATAAATTTGATTTAGAAGGGGCTGAGGTTTAGTTCAGCAGTGTAAATGCCTGCCTGCCAAACACAACTTGTGAGTTCAATCCCCACTACCAAATAAAAAATTTGTTTTAGAAGGCTTCAACTGATACTTCCCTAGACATAAGTGAGGCAGAAGTTCAGTTTCTCTACTGGGTCTCTCTCGATATTCAAGTTAGGATGTCTTTATTACTGCTGGTTAGTGTGCTGCCCTAGCTTATTGGGGTAGAAACTTCTGGTAACTACTGATGAGGGCGGTGGTTTCACTCCCAGGTGTTTTCTACTGGGAGGGGAGTATTTTTATTGGATTTGAAATTCTTGCTCCCACATGGTTCATTTCTGGGAATAAGAGAGGCTTCCTTCAAAGCTCAATAAGAATAGAAGACTTACAGGCCTAAATTTTATAACAGCTGCATTTTTATGACATTCTTTTACAGCAAGATGTCTCACTTCTTATGTCTTAATATTTCTGTAGTGAAAAAAGCTGCATCATGATCTGCATTCCTTTCCGCTACACACATACATTCCCAAATCTTCTATGGGAGGCAGTAAGGTCAGAGCCTTTATATCCAGATTGACTAGATTCCTGTCAAAATGTGGCATTTTCAAATCGTGTGGCTCTGGGGAACTTACAAATACTCTTGAGTCTCAATTTTCCCAGCTGTAAAAGAGGAACTAGAAAAGTCACATGACTCTTGCAGAAACAAGTAAAAATAGATCACCAGAAACTCAATAAATGACAATTCTCTTCCTTTTCCTCTTCTGCAGAAGGAAAAACAACCCCTTTACATGAAAGCATGTAGGTGCTTCTCTCCAATACATCATGTGCACTCAGGAACTCCAGAGTTAAAACAGACACACTTGATATCCTCCATCTCTTTCTTCTGATGAATGTTCCACAGAAATAAGGAGACAGCCCGACTCAGGCCATCCTCACAAAGTGAGTGGGAGCAGGTAATCAGACGGAGTAGAAGAGGTAAAGGAAGGTCTACCAGTCCATCTAATTAGCCCCATCAGGCACCACTGTACTCTGAGCAAAGAACAGCAACACCTTGACAAAGCTGCTCTGAGAGTAGTGTGGGGGCCTGGCAACTCCCACTTTGCAGCCCGTGCTTCATCCTCAGCTCCTCAGAGTTGCTGTCGTGAATCCACGATCAATGCAGCTACTAGTTTCCTGAGTCTCCACAGCTCCCTTCCCCTGTCTATCCCCACTCCCAAGCGCAATGGGAAGAAATTGGCAGGTGGGTAAAAAGAAAACCAGCGCGCACATCCTCGTAGCCCAGGTTCCCTGTGATTATTTTGCAGACTCCGCCCTGCAGCTACTGGCAGCTGCTGCCAGACTGGAGACTCTAGATTTGCCTCTTAAAAGGCTTTCCTAAGCTTCAGGTTCTGAGGTTGAACCCTAGACGCGGGTGGGATGGGGGGAGGGTGTGTCTTTCGACTCCTAAGAGCAAGATGAGAGGACATCTTGGAATTAACAAATGCTTTTTAAAAACGCATTTGTGAATTCCGACCCTGACGCCCCGTTTATAGGAACCAGTCCCTGTGCGCGCTCTTTCTCGGTCAAATCTAGCAAAACAGCCCTCACGGTCGCGGTTAAAGTCGCTGTCTTTCTCTTTCCCTCTTTTCCTTCCTTTTCTCAATTTTGATTCTTCCAAGCTTTTCCCAATCGTAACCTAATCTAACAGTCTGTAGTGAAGCAGCCCTTTTCCTATTCCCCTCAGCAAGTTGTCCAACAATAGATAGGTAACAGCCTTCTCCCTCAGTGAGGGATTTTGGGAGAATCAAGGAGGGATAGGGTGTGCTACAACATGCCACATACCTGATCTCTTTAATGCTTTCCAATTTGCACATGATTTCTTGTTCATCTGCCATGCTTTTCACCCTCTATTTCTTGTCTGGAGCAAAGTACAGAAACACACTGGCCAAGGGATACAATAGATGCGATGTGGCCACCTCCCAGTTTGAGGCTTTGAGTCTGTGCAGTAGGGATTTAGAGAAGGCCTGGGAGTTGTAGTCCGCAGCTGCGGGACTAGCCTGGCAGCCCGGGAACCTATAGGACTACAACTCCCAGAAAGCCAAACGAGACATACTTGTTTCTCTTCCTGCAGCGTAATTTAAGTCAGTTTATCAAAGGTTGTGAGGAAGGCAAGAGGATTCGGATGTCCTTGGACCTATATGCAGAAAAACGGTAAGTCCCCCCCCCAAAGTAACTAGAGAGATGAGAGACACATTCACTTCACTCTGAGGGGCCCTCGGGCCAACCTGTGCCCAAAAGATTACCAGGAATAGCTAGCTGCTAGTAGCCTTGAGTCTGAAAAAAACAAAACAAAACAAAACAAAACAAAACAAAACAAAAAAACAAAAAAAAAAAAAAACGATGCTGCAGCTTTAACAACCTCTGAGCTAACTGCTGCCTGAGGGCTAGTAGCTTTTTAGAATAAAAGTAGAAAAGAAGAGGAAGGGAGACTGCTACGAAAACTGGGAAATTAGAATTGAAATAGAAGGTACTGCTTTCTTACAGCTACCCATCCATTCACTAGTTACTGATATGTCCCATTAACATAAAATATTTTTAGAAGTTACTGAGCATACTGTTTTCCAGTCAACGAAAGAACTGAGGGAGACACTGGTAAAAAAATAAATAAATTAAATAAATAAATAAAATAAAAACAAGTCCTTGCCTGTGAGAAGCAAAGACAATAATCCATTAATTACACTGCAGTGAGATATCATAAGAATAGATAGGGTATAACCTGGGTTGAGAATGTGTAATTAGGCCTCAAAATGTAGCTAAGAATGTGCTAGACCCTAGATGAGAATGTTTTCCAGCAAAAGATGCAACACATAGGGAAAGGAAAAGACCAGTAGCCCAGGGCATCTGGTGTATATGCTCTTATATAGAATGTAGAGGTGAGAAAAGGAAGTGCTTCCATATCAGATTAAAGAACTTAGACTTAATTATGTGTTCATACATACCCAATACAGATTTATTAAATGGTTATGCCACGTCTGGAGTGAAGCTAGATTTTATCTGGGGTTTGTAAACTTTATATGAACACAAAATTATAGATACAAATTTAGAAGGAGAAACAAGATAACCTTATTGGAAAGAGGACAAAAATAAGGAGATAGCAACATCATCAGAGTAAAGAAGGGACCCCAAAGCTGGTGTTGGAGGATCTTTGTTATTACCACTTTTTATTACATGGCAAGAAAGGGACGCTTCCCTTTGGGAGTTGTTATAAATTGATTGATTGATGGTTTCAGGCTCTCAACTCTCAACTCTCTGTTGCCTGTGTGCAAATTCTTGGGTAAGCTCCTTTCCTTTTGTCAGGTGGTATCTCTCAGATTTATAGCAGAGTCTTATGTTTAAGACAGAGCAGTTAGTAAAGGTATACACGTACATTTTAGTGCAGTAACATGGTGAGCCAATAATACTGTGTAAACATGGGAATGTCCAGGTATGAGTATATATTTTACATAATAGTGAGTTTCCTACAATATAGGGGCTATATTGGGGATAGTATAAGACCTATCCCCACTTTGTCTCCTTTTTACTTAACTGGAGATGGAGAGGAACAAATTTGGGCCCTTGCTCCAAAGCAAACCAGACTGTTTGTTCTCTGATTCTCTTAATTGCTCTCTCTAGCAGACGTTTAACTCCCTCCAGCAAGGATTGGTCAGAAACCTCACCAAAACCCTTACATTTTCCTGCCTGTTCACCAAATTTCCCCACATTTTCTGTGTTCTAAATAATGTAGAATTATATTAAAACAATTTTGGGGTGTTGAGATTGAATCAAGACCTAAATATGCGTGTTACCACCAAGCAATACTTCCACTCTCTAAAATAAAATGATTTCCAAAGAACAGGAATGATAAAGATAGAAAACATCTTAGGGAGATGATGCTGAAAACAAAGTTGGGAATGATTACAGTAGATGAGAGGACATTTACTCCAAAAGTAAATGTCCGGAGAGTTAAGCTTTGGAAAAAGGAGTTTAATTCACTCCAAAGTAAAGAAAAGTCAGAATTCCATCTGATGGTACTTAAATTCAAGTGAAACTCAGTTTCCTCATCTAAAATAATGAAACTAGTAAGCTCCACCCCAAAGGTTTGTTCTGAAGACTTAATTTGTGGTGGATTACCTAATGGTCAACTGGTAACACACAGTTGAATTGAATCAGCATGGTGCTGAGTGTGGATGGCCCACTTGAAGATTGTTGCCAGTAGCATAAAAAGAGAACTAGAGGGAAAGATGTTGTACTGTTGATTCTCCTGGAGAAGCTTATGGTGCTGGTTTTCTTGATATGAGCTCAGCTGTTCTCATCATCTGAGGAGCTAGGGTCCTCACATTCACTGAGGATTGCTGTAATCCTTTTGCAGGGAGCTCTGGTCCTTACCTTAAGCATCACTTTCTGGCTCCAGTGCATATTCCACAGCCTGGTGGCTCACATGCTTCATCCCACTGGTGCAGATTTTCTAGCTTCTACCACTGACCATAGATTTTCCCAGTGCAGTTCCTTGATATAGACTTGCATGAGACATTGTTATGGGCTCTGGGTCTTTAGATAGACTTGTGCAGGACATTGTCATGGGCTCCAGGCCCTCAGCTGGACTCTTTGTGTCTCCCCTACCCTTTTTCATTTAACTCTTTGGCTGAATATTATAAAATAATCCTGTAAATTCTGTATCCTGTATTAAATCCTTTCTCTTGTAAACCCTGACTACAACATAATGAATTCATACCCATGATAGTGCAAATGCAGGACTTGGCATATTATAGCAAGAGCACAGGAAAAGTGTGTGGAGTATGAATCACAGATCATTTTGAATATTAACACAATTTAAATGTAGTTCAAGGAAGGAATTAAAGATTTTCTCTTCTTCGGATACAAGACAATAACTTTCAGATCCAGGAAATTATCTAGCCTAACATTTTTTCTTTAATACAGAAGGTCCTAATCTTACAATAACAATAGGTGGCATTTAAACACCACTTTGTTAATCACCACAGCTATGGGTTCAGAGCCAAGAACTGGCCCTACCATGTCTGCTAAGAGGTGAGTAAAAGGAAAAAACTCAGGTAAGTGTCTGACATGTACATCTACTATTCTGAAAGCTAGATACAGAGACCTTTCTTTCATCCTCACAAACTGCAATTAGGGAGCAGGGGGGGGGTACCCTTTTTATGAGAAAAACATCAACTCAGGAAAAAATTGGTTTTGTCAAGGCTACATAGTAAATTACAAGGCAAAAACCTGGGCTGAATTTGGGCTAAGTTACCTGCAGACTAATGAATGAAATGAATATGAAGAAAACTTAGAGATCAAAAGTAAAATGGGATCTTGGGTGAAAATAAAGTACTTCACAAGATGTGTTAATATTGCTGTGGGGAAAACTGGAAAGTAAGTATTTGAGTGTGTGAGAAACAGTTTAAGAGTGGCCTTCAGGGTTTTAAAACTAATGTTTCCTCTTTTTTCACCATCAACTTTGTCTAAGAATCTTTATTTCACATTGTATCAATATGCTTTTAAAGGTCTAAGTGTGGTTAAGTATCTGTTTGATTTAAATATGGTGTGGCTTACAACAATCTGACTTTCAAAGTAATTTGGCAAACATCTTATTTTTCAAGCCTCACCAAAATCCCGTTTCACATATAAGGAAATTAAGACAGAGAAGAAAAAGGTTTGTCTAAGCTCACCAGCTTGGTTGACACAGAACAGGACTCCTGACTCCAGGGGTGTGTACTCTTCCTACAGTTCCACATGGCTTGTATCAAATCATTGCCATTGCCTCTAGATTATGAATGCCTCTACTACTTCAGCAAGGTAATACACTCCATGATTCTCAATCCATGACATTAATGGCAGATGGGAGTTAATCTAGAAGGGACCTGGGGAACACCTGGAATGTAGATGAAGTTCTGTGCTACTGTAATTATTAAAATGTTCAACAAGAGAAAAGGTAATAAGACTCAGATTCCATGAGTTTGTATTGGCTCTTCAACCTCTTTAGAAACAAATACCTTGCCTGTTCTTTGCTGAGTTGTAAGAACTAGACTATGGGCTGGGGATTTAGCTCACTGGTACGAGTACTTGCCCAGCAAGCACAAGATCATGAGTTTAAATCTCTGGTACCAAAAAAAAAACAATAACAACAACAAAAAAAAAAAAAACGAAAAACCAAGCACCAAAAAACAAAACAAAGTCATTTTTTTTTTTTTTTTTTTTTTTTACTTTTTCGTTTTTACCGGTACTGGGGATCAAACTCACGACTGCCTGCTTGCAAGGCAGGTGCTTATGCCACTGAGCTAAATCCCCAGCCCCAACAAAATAAATCAATCCACTGACACACATGCACAAAAAAGAAACTAAACTAAAAATGAGAGGGGAGAAATTTTTACAGGAAAAAGTAAGGAAACCACAGCTTTTTGCCTCTTATGAAATAGCACTTAAAAGTGTCTCTGGCTTTTTTCATAGTTAGTGTTTGTTTTCAATTGGTCAGATGTCTGTAATGGATGGGACAATATTTAGGAGCTGGCAGTGATTTTATTAGAATAACTGATTGATGTGTAAGAAATAAAAAAAAAATTTCTAATGGGGATCAATCAGTCCCCTGATCTGCCTACAGAGGGATACAGCAAGGAATAAAGAAACGAGACAGAAAGACACACTTTCAAACTGCATGTGGGGTGGGGGGGTGTTGGGAGGCCAGTGCTTCAGGATGAGCAGACATTTCATGGTAGCCACGATTTATTGAGTGCACATAATGATCAGAAGAATTACCCCATCTAATGACCACTGTTATCCAACGCTAAGTAAATCTTAATGTTGTAAGGGTAACTTTGGAGGGTTTAGTGGGCAGCAGCAATCTTATGCTAATGAGGATTTTTGTGTTGATGAGGATGGTGGGGAGAGAAAGCAGGTTAATAAGGAAAGTGTCCTTTCCCATAGGTGTAACACCATTTCTATTACTCATTTCTCAAGGAACC